CCACCAAATACAGCCCAAGATGCTCAGGGAATCAGAGCTACCCAAAATGCGCGTGCACTCAAATGCCTTTTTAAAAAAATATATTTTTTCCTGATATATTTGAGAGGAATATCTCTTTTCCCAGAGAGAAGAAAAGCGTCCAAAAATTACTGTTCTCTTTTTAGAAAAAAGGTCTTGGATTGACAGGTGAGGGTTGGCACCGTGACCAGCGAGGCAGTTGCTTTCCTTGGCTGCTCCCTGATCGACGCGCTCGTGTTTTAAGCCGTGCCTCGTCTTGAGTTTCTGCTGAAAAGCGAGGATTAAACTGCAGTAATCCAGGACTCAGGGTGGAGAGCTTCATCCTGGCTTGATTTTCCAAGGCAGGGCTGCCCCAAGTCCTGATTGCACTAATGGTCTAGCTGGGAAGTTGGTTGTTTCCTGGGATCATACCAGGCCTTAAAGTCTCTATATCCCCCTCCCAAGCTTTACCTGAGCTCAAAGATTTCCTTGCTTCTGTTTAACCCTGAAACTGTGACCCGGGGCAGTGGTGTTTCCCGGAACCCCCGGCATGAGCAGTGGGCAACGCTGCCAAGGAGGATCCCCAGCCCCATCTCTAAACGTGTTGACCAGAACTAGGGCACATTCCTGGTTCAAATGAGGCCTCCAAGATGCTTGTTCCTATGCCTGAACACCAGAGAAGTGACTATTAGAAGAGGCAATCAATTTGCGGCTGCTCTGGTTTGAGTTTCCATCTGACGGGGCTGCAATCTGGGCGACAAATCTTAACTTAGGAACTACAAAGGGATTGTTCCTTGGGAAGATAACGCGCGCTGGTCGGGGCTCTTATCTTCTGTGAAAATTGATTGTCCCGTTCAGTGATGTCTCTGTTTCTCAGGGGTGGTTCACAGCACGCAGCTCTGAGTCCCATCTCCCCAGAGCCCTTGTTTTAGGCACTTATCTGCTTAGACTCCCATTGCTGCCTACCTTGCTAACACCTCTCCTGCTTCCTAAACTAATAAACGGGCCAAAATGGGTCTTCTGACTAAGCTAAGAGTCATGTTCTGTGCTTTTCTGCATGCTCCTGTGCTAGCGAGAAAGCTCGGAGCAGCTGTCAGATATTTATGCAAGCCCTTTTCCTCTTCTATTTTAAGTTCACTTTTGATCAGAAGCCGGGGAGGGGGGGAAGCCGGCTTGGAAACCACGATACGTTCTTCAGAGCTGCCGGCTTCAAAGTAGGTGCGAGGTGCAGTGACGAAGCACGGTGGCTGAGCGGGATGAGCACGGAGCATCGCGGAGCATTGTGGAGCATTGCGAAGCATCGTGGAGCATCACCAGCCTCTGCTCCGCGCAGCCCTGTGTGAGCCCGGTGTCCAAACCAGTCCTGCACGAGCTGAGAGTGCTGCAAACCAGCCCTGCATGAGCCTAGTATCCAAACCAGCCCTGCGCGAGGTGGGTACGTGCTGCAAACCAGCCCTGCACGACCACAGCACCCAAACCAGCCCTGTGCAAACCCAGTGTCCAAAGCAGCCCTGCATGAGCTGAGAGCGCTGCAAACCAGCCCTGCGTGAGCCCAGCATCCAAACCAGCTCTGCATGAACCCAGCGCACTGCAGATCAGCCCTGCATAAGCCCAGTGTCCAAACCAGCCCTGTGCGAGCCCAGCACGCCCTGGATGGTAAAGCTGCCAAGAGGACAAAGTGCAGCCTATGTGGCTGAGTTGGGGGTGGCCGTGGGGACCTGTTCTGAGATTGCTGAGGCAGTTTTGCCAGGAACCCTATAGGGAGAAAGTTGGCCTGGAGGAGAGGTCTGGAATCTCCTCCAGGTTGGAAATACGGACAACGTTTCCATCGTCTTTTAAAAATGCCTGTGTATGTGTGTGTTGTGCGAGGCAGCTCCGTGCCGAGGCTCCAGTGGGAAGCCGTTCTGCCTGCCGGGCTGCAGGAGCGGTTGATGGAGCCGGCGCCTCGCGGCACAGGCGCTGCCCGGGCACAAAGCCCCCCGTGGGGTGCGTGTGGGTCCGGCCCGGGAGGACGGCGCCTCCGAGGCCCCCGTGCACGGCTGCATGTAAACGCTCGCCAACGGGAGTGACACAGGAGCGGTCGAGTCCTTGCAATCGCCCAACCTGCCCCAGTCCTGCAGCACGGTGCTCGCCAGGGTGCATCTGCACAGCCCAAGGGTTGCATCTTTGCAGCCCATTCTGCAGCCGTTCCCATTCCTCTGCCCCAGAGCAGGGCGCAGCCCCAAGGGGACCTTTCCACTTGCATCTATACGTTTTGGATTGTGCCCTACTCGCTTCACTCCTCTGATTTAACAGGACGTTGTTATTCATGACTTGGCAATTAATAGATTTTCCATGAGAAAAATCTCTCTAGCTTCTGAAAAATCCCAGGGAAAGAATGATTCTCATGTTAAATGTTCTGGACAGTAGTAACCAGCATGTTTAAAATACTGACTTCAGGATCCCTGCCTTGTTATAGAAATGAAAAGAAAAAGTGCAAAATGATGCTCTTGCAAAACAAATTCCGGTAACCATTGGCTAGAGAACTTTCAAGAGACTTTTCTCAAGAGTGAAGTGGAGAGGCTGCCATACCCATTCCCTGCTTAATGGGCTGCTGTGCAAATTAAAGTGCGGATTGCTGGATAATTCCTGGCCTCGGCGCATGGGCTGCGCGAGGCTCCTGCGAGAGGAACGCTCTGGCCTCCTGTACGCGGCAAGGGATCCTTCCACAGCGCACAAAAAAAGCAAATTCATGATTCACGGAGGCTCTGGCCATACATCTTGCAAAGAAATGCTTGGCAGCTTTAGAGAATAGCTGGGTTTATTTTAACCTTTAAGAATGACACCAATTTCACAGCTGTTAATGCTATGTGGCTCCTACGCTTTCCAATGCAAATTGCACATGAAGGGCTAATGCATTTTGATGAAGGGGGGGAGGCAGAATCTCCATATTAATGTGCCAATAGCTTTGTTCTGAAGTGTTTAATTTTATGCTTTAATGAGAGATCCTCTTTCTGGTTAAGGCAAGCCTTTGCAAGAAACTATTTAGATATTTGCTGGTGTCATCAGCCTCTGGAGCAGGGGGAAGGAAATATTTTCTGCAAGTGGGGTTTTTTGTTGTTGTTCTGTTTTGCTTCTGGGTCAAAAATGGTTGCAAGGGGAGTCTCAGGGAGATATAGTGGTGCTGAGCGAAGGTCTTGCCCAAAGCCCCTGGAAATCAGGGTTCGGCATCAACTCTCATGCAGCCCAAAGGAGCAGTTTTGGGTTGTCCACCCTGGAGAGCTGCATAGGAGGGAAGGGGCCTGTGGGGTGCCTGAGCTCACTGAAAATCAGGGTGCCTGGTGCTGGGCCTCCCATCTCCCCTCGGGATGGGTTTTGTAGGGGCAAAAGCTTGAGATTGTCACAGGTCTTTTACCTTCCCGGGACGAGCGTCCCGCAGAGCAGCCGGGCGCAGCACCCGCCGCTAGCGCTGGAAGTTCCCCGTGCGTTTGATATGTGATGCACATTTGGTCTCAATCAAGATCCCGTTGGAGCAGGCACTCAGGATTTAGAGCATAGGATTTCAAATAACACCGGGCTATTATTAATAATAGCTTTTCATCAGGCATTGCCTTTGCAAGCTACAAGAGCAGCCCAGCAGAAATACACCAAACTACATAATTGCTTTTATTAAAAAATCAAATTGGGCAAAGTGGATAAATGGTGCAGCGCAGAAACATGAGAAGTCTTGTCCCTTGGCTTCGTTTGCGCTGGTGACCAACTCGGAGGAGCCTCGTGGTGGGTGTTGAACAGGTTATCTGGATGCAGTGCTGCTTGGTGGACCCCATGGGAAGGGAAAGGGCACTCGGGGCGGCTCCTCTCGGCTCCCGGTGTCCTTGCAGTGTGCTCGCCGCTGCCTCCTGCCCTGCTGGGCTTTCCCCTGTTGGAAAGTGGGGTACCCAGGACGAGAGGAGCTCCTGGATGGCTGGGAGTGACCAGGGGGGATCGCGGCGCTGCTCTCCGTGCCTGCTGCCCTTGGAGCGGGAATGGTGACGGGGCTGGCCCAGGATGAACATGAGAGCGGATGCGGCCCCACCGCCCCGTGTCCCCACCAGAGCTAGGGGTGACGTGCCCAAAGGAGAGACCAGATGAGGGGCAACATGATGGAGCAGTCAGGTCCATTCCAGAGCTGGTTTTCACAGAATCACGGAATGGTTGAGGTTGGAAGGGACCTCTAGAGATCATCTAGTCCAACCCCCGTGCTCAAGCAGGGACACCCAGAGCATGGGGCACAGAGTGGCAGCCAGTTTGATTCCCATGGGGATCAAACCCTATGGGATTGTTCCCCCTAGAAAACTGGACTAGCCCTATTGAGCAGAGAACCTGGGGAGCACTTGGCAGGGTTGGGTGGCCCCACTGGGCATCCGCTCCGGCTGCCAGACCTCGGCACAGGGAGGCCCTGCTGAGAGAAAGCAGCAGATGCCGTCGCTGGGGATCTGCTAAGGAAGAGGCTACTTCTGTTCTGCTCTAAATTGCTTCCTTGTTGAATGTTTCTTTAACCCGGCCACTTGTAAACCCGAATGAATTTGCACTGGGGGGATGCTCCTTGCTCAAACCCCCTCTGTAAGAACCGGTCCAGGGGCAACATAACTGCTGTGAACGGGTGAATCCACTCAAGTTTGTTTCCTTGATAGCTCGGATCAGAATGGGAGAGATGCTCGATCCTAGGGGAATCAGGACTCTCTGTTCAGCCGCGTTTGCTATGGGAGTATGCCTTGTCCTAGACCATGGGGATTCACAACTTTTGATCTGCAGACCTTATTTCTCCATACACTTTCCTGCTCTCCCCGCTGTCCCAGCCTCGTGCTGCTGCCGAGGCTCTGCCGAAGCCGCATCCCGGGCACGCGGGGTGCACACGCCGGTCCCCACGTGCGCCTCCCAAAGCGCCCGTCGAGCGGAGCGGCTCCCGCTCGCCGCACTTGGCAGGTACTTTTAATTGCCTGGAAAATATTCTTCCTGCGAAGTTGCCGTTTTCTGGGGCTTGAATGAGTGGCGGCTGCCATTGGCTGTGCCCGGCGCCTGCGGATTGGCTCCGCGGCCGCGGAGGGACCGATAAGGGCGGCTATAAAAGCCCCGCGCCGGCGGCCGGGCCCCCAGCGCGCGGGAGGCGGCGGGGCCGGCGGAGCGGGGCCGGCGGAGCGGGGCCAGCGCTTCCCAGCCCGGCACGCTCGTCCTGCGGCGGCCGCGCCGTTGGCGGAGCCGGAGCGCGGAGCGGGCGCGCGGGCCGCCGCAGCGCGGCAACTTGCCGGAGAATGCTCCGCAAGTGCGGGCTGCTGCTGCTGCCGCTGCTGCTCGGCGCCGCCGCCGCCCTCGACGCCGAGCACAATGACTCCGTGAGCCCCCGCAAAGCCCGCGGCGCCGCGCAGAGCTCCGGTAAGGGCCCCCCGCGCCGCTCCGCCCGGCCACCGGGGCGCCGCGTGCGGGATGCGGCGCCCGCGCCGCTCCCGGGCACTTTCCCCCGCTTCGGGAAGCGGCTCGGCTTCCCCGTCGCTGCTGCTGCATGCCTCGCGTCCTCGCAAGTTGCTCCAACCCTGGGAAACTGGACGGAGCCCTTGCTCTGCCCTGTTCAAAGAGCAGGGAGAGGGATGTGCCGCCGGGAAGAACGCAGTAACCTAGAAACTGTCCCCTGCTAGCGTTTATTCCCACAGCTGATTGCTATCGCTTCGCTGGTACCATAAAAATCCGGTGGTGACATTTCGCAAACTCGCGTTTACAATGGGCAGAATAATTGCTGGCAAGTCCGCGCTGGACATCTCCGCTCCGCGCGCTCCAGATGCCTGGATGAGTTGGCTGCGTTGTCTTCAGCAATAGAAATCAAAAATCTGCCTCCTCGTGCGCTGAGATGATATTAGGTCTCTAATTCGGAGCTCATTAACAGCTGCCTTATTTTAGCTCCACAAGCTCTGCAGTTGGAGCGGGGTGGCTGCTCCTTTTGTATTCGGTTGCTATAGAAACATAGGGTCTCCCTCCTGCTCCTGCCTAAAACAATGAGCGCCGGGAGCGCCCGGGTCTGCCGGGGCAAAGTTAGGGGCTGAACCTGCGCCGGGAGCTCCGCTCCGGCACCGGGAGCTCCGAGCTTACCAAATATTCCCCGCTTCCAGCACGCAAGCAGTAGCTCAGCAGCAGGGAGGCATAAGGGAGGTGTATTTTTCCTTTTCCTTAAAGATCCCGGTTGTAGGATATACCTGGAGGCTGCGGCGTGGTGCTCGGCAAGGTGTGCGCCCGTGGGCTGAGCGCAAGGGCTCCCTTTCCCCAGCCCGCACCTCGCCGCGCGGCGCTGCCGTCGCGTTTCCCCCGAAGGAATGTCTCGTAACATGAGCTGCAAAAGTAATGCCGGGCCTCGCACAGGCACATACGGGGACAGATGTTCGGCTTACCAAAAAAGGTTAATCCCTGCGAACTTCAGGGCAGCAGCGCAGCAATACTGCTGATTCACCGCTGAAACGCACGCTGTCTGCTCGCCCCAAGCCGGGGTGAGCTGATACCTCCCGCTCGGCCTCGCTGGCTTTAATTATACATGGTCCTCTCGGTTACCTCCGCTTTCCCCGGCGGGGCGGCCCTTCCCGAGGAAGCTTGGGCAGGATGCGGGGCTGGGCGGTGCTGCCGGGCCGTGTCCATCCCCAGGCGCTCGCTTAGCTCTCCCACAGCTCTGCTGCCCACTGGGCACCCCAAATCCCCGCGGGCGCTCTGGAAAGGCACCGGGGTGCGCGGGGGCCACGACGCTCACGGCACTCTCCTTGCAGCCGAGGTGGTGCGCTGCCTCAACGGCGCGCTGCAGGTGGGCTGCGGGGCCTTCGCCTGCCTGGAGAACTCCACCTGCGACACGGACGGCATGTACGACATCTGCAAGTCCTTCCTGTACAGCGCCGCCAAGTTCGACACGCAGGTACGGCCCCGCTCGGCCCCTTTGCTTCCACCCTGCGGCCCTCACTCGAGCCCGCGGCACCGAAACATGGTGCTTTGAGTGGGAGCCTTCGTCGCTCTGGCCTCGCGTGGGTTTGCTCTGCATGGCCTCAACCCTTAGTGTCCTGGCCCTTGTGCTGCTTAGGCACTGCCGTGACACGCGGCGTGCGGGTCTGGCCACGGATGCATCCTTCAGGGATCCTTCCTCCGGCCCGCTTTCCGTATGGTGCGCGCTGTGCATGCAGACCTGGCAGGGAGCGGCTAGCGGGGCATGGAGCTGCAGTTCCTCTGCGGGGTAAATGCAGAGGTTCCCCTTGGGCGGCCGTGCACCCCGGAGCGTGGGTAGCCTCGGAGGAACTGCCGCTTCCCCCAGCGCTCTTCCCTCGGCGCTCCCTGTGCGCACGAGCACCTTGTTCCCGTGTGCTGGCCCCGGGCGCACGCTGGGAAGCAGCTCAAGCACCCCGCGGTGCAGAGGGGCCGCCGGCACGGCCGCCCCGGGCGCAGCGAGCGGCTCGGCGCCCTCGCGCAGGGCACAACCAGCCCATCCGCGGTGCTGGCGCTGGCTGGCCCGCTGCTGTGCGGGATTCTGTGGCCAAAACCCGTTGGGAATGGGAGCTCTCTGTATCCCAACGGAAACTGCTGGCCAGGGCTGGGCTCGCAGCCACGTGCGAGCGTCCGGAGGCCGGTTTGCAGGTGCTGGTGCGTGGCCTCCAGCAGGTCCCATAGCAGCAGCGCATCCGGTAACGCGCAGATTTCCATGAACTGCCTTGCAATTTATTTATTCTGCTTGCAGGGCAAAGCTTTTGTGAAAGAAAGCTTGAAGTGCATTGCAAACGGAGTTACGTCCAAGGTTTTCCTCGCCATCCGGCGGTGCTCCATGTTCCAAAGAATGATCTCGGAGGTGCAGGAGGAGTGTTACAGCAAGCTGGACATGTGCGGCATCGCAAAACGAAACCCCGAAGCAATCACCGAGGTCGTCCAGCTTCCAAATCAGTTCTCAAACAGGTACGTGAGACTTTCCAGAGCCAATAGGGGTCACGTGCAAGAATGTGAAGTGCAGAGAAAGAAAAGAACTGAGTTGTCTTAACTCCAGCTCGCTGTCTGCAAGCCCTAATGCAGCTTAGCCTGAATAATACTGTCTGCCCCTTCAAATTCTTGTTAAGTTTTACCAGCATTCTTGTGCTTCTTTTGCTGGTAAATGCTCTTATAAACACCCACGGGGAAGAAGCCAAAAATTAACTAGACGTGCACTACTTGATAGCCCGGAGTTTGTTTAAATAGAATCGTTCTCGTAACCTGAGTATGATATAATGCAAAGTAGACCCACACAGTGTCTTGCAGAGCTGCTCTAGCTATTACAGCTTCTTTCTCCTCTTTGGCCTGGGGCATCTCCCCTTTGCTGCTCGTATAAGGCTGTGCGGTAGCTTGGACAGCGTTTGGCCCCTGTTGTCTTCTCGGTGGCAAAGGCCACAGAAATGGGCGGCCCTGCTGTCCCCATCCCGCAAGGACAAGGCATAAGGGAGGCCCAGGAGCCTCCGGCCTCCAAGGCCTGGTGCTGAGCCTGGTGATGGGGCTGGAAGGGACCGTTCGGAGCGGCTGCGCCCGGGCTTGGAGCGTGACCGCAGCGAGCCGGGCGGCCGCTCGCGCCTCTCCGAGGAGCCACTTGAGCAGCTTTAGTCTGGCAGCCTCTGAGCCCTACGGACCTTTCCTGGCAGGGGATGCCAGAGCTGTGGAGAGGCTGTACTCCGGCCTGTGTGGATTTACTGCAGGAAACCCTCCTGCAGCAGAGCTTGCACCGTGGGGAGGCAGGTGCTGTAAGGAAGGGTTGTCCGAGTGAACTGGGTGCTATCAAAGCTGCAGCTTAAGCTGGGCTCTTCTGCCGCCTTCCCCCGGCTGCTGCAGAGAGGATTGTCCAAACCTTCCCCCAGGGATGCAGGGACACCCGTGAGCCTTGGGGACAACCCCCGCGAGCCTGGTCGGCACCGCTGGTTTCAAAGCCAGAGGATATTATGACACGCTGAGTAACAAAAGCAGCAGGATTTCCCAGCTAATAGTTTACGTTAAGGTCTCCGAAAGCATCCTGCTTTCCCAGCCCCTGTCCCGACATAGCCATGGAACAGGAATGTGCCGCTTGGCCTGCGGCGCCGAGGGGAAGTAGTTAAAGGTCATAGCATCTTCCTGTGATTTAATCTGGCGGCAGGAGCAGCGCACAAGGAAAGACTCTTTGCTCGCGCTCCCAGGCCGGCTGCCGCAGGGCGCTCACGGGCGCCGAGCAGCGCGCGGCACCCACGGGAACCCGGCTCCAAACAGCCCCACGGGCTGCGCTTTGCACCCATATGTCCCTGCATGAGAGAGCTCCCGCGTAGGGGGCCCAGGCGTCCTGCGGCTCGGGGCTGCAGGAGCGCCGAGCCGGTGGGAAGGGCTCTGACTGCGAACGCTCATTTCCCTCTTCCTTCCCCTCCGCCTCCCACAGGTTGCCCCCCTCTCCGCTCCTATGGAAAAATGTCATGGTGACCTTAAAGACTTGAAACCAGTTCCCAGAAGCCGCAGGCAGTGGTGGCCCTGCGACTTCTCCTCTCCTCCTGCTTCCCACCAGGAAGCCCTTCCCGGGCCGCGGCCGGGCGGGAGCTCCTGGCGGTGCCACTCTCCTCCATCCAAACCGGACAGGGGAACCCGCGAGCCCCGTCCCGTCCCATAAGCCCCATCCCATCCTGTCCGTCCCATCCCACAACCCCCTTTCTGTCCCGTCCTGTCCCACGGGCTCTGTCCCGTCCCGTGAGCCTCATCCCATCCCGCGAACGCGGAGGGCGGGAGGGAAGGGGCTTTGCTCCTGCCCACGGCCGCATCGCGTAACGGCCGCCGCCTCTCGCGCAGATACTACAACAAGCTGGTGAGGAGCTTGCTGGAGTGTGACGAAGAGACTGTGAGCACCATCAAGGACAGCTTGATGGAGAAGATCGGGCCCAACATGGCCAGCCTGTTCCAGCTGCTGCAGACGGAGCAGTGCGCGCAGGGCGCCGCGCGCGCGGACTTCGTGCGCCGGCGCCTCGGCGAGCCCCAGAAGCTCAAGCTCTACCTGAGGAAGCTGCGAGGTGAGGGCCCCGCGGCAGCGCCCGCCGAGCGCGCCGCCCCGCCGAGCGCGTAGCGCCCGCGCGCCGCCCAAGCCGAGGCCCTCCCGCAGAGGGATGCGCCCAAACCGCGTGTCCTGCGCCCAAACCACCTGTACTGTAGCTAGTTTGAATAACAGCTAGGACCTGGGCTTAGCTTTAGTCACGGAGATTTTCTATTCCTCTCGAACCGACTTTTGCATGGATCTGTGTTCAGTGTCTCAGCTTTCCCGCCATCAACGTGTCTCCATCTCTTTCTTTCCGCCCCCACAACTAAATACCCCAAGTGATCCTAGTCTTAAATAGAACCCTGTAGCAGGGAGGCCTCCAGCCCTGCAGGCGCTGGCACTGGGGGCAGCCGTGTCCCTGTCTCCAGACCCGGTGGTGGCCACTGCTGCCCCAACAACCCCTGCGCTCCCGTGCAGGGTCCCCCCACTAGGAATCTGTGCTGGCCATGGACAAATATGACTGTCACGTTCCTGCTCCCCTCGTGTCCCGCAGCCCTGGCTGCCCTGTTCGAACCCCGCACACCGGTGCAGCGTGCGGCCCTGCGGCATGCTGCAGGTTGAACGCAGCGGGTTGCAGCCCCACAGCATGCAGCAGGTTGCAGCCCCACGGCATGCAGCAGGTTGCAGCCCCATGGCATGCAGCGGGTTGCATCAGGTTGCATGCAGCGGGTTGCAGCCCCA